CTATTCCAGGCATCCATTATGGCAGAGTGACCGTGTGTTGTTGCTGAGGCCAATCATTAACAGAAACACGCCCCAGCAGTTGACACACAGCAGTGACAGTCTCACTTCACTGGACACTCAATGAAACCTTTCAAAATAAAGTTCAACAATTTTTAGAGCCTTTTTCTCAGCATGTTTCATAGTTGACAACATTGTCAGGAATATATGATTCAGTATAACACAACAATTTACGCCTTCCAAATTAGGGTTAGATTTAAACTGGGATGAAGGTGTTATTAGGGGTATGTCAGGATTAAGAGTATGTTAGCTTCTGGGTTAGACTAGGATTTAGGTTACTGTAATATATATACAGTATATATATCAGAGTAAGTGATGGGGTTGTGTTGAGGTCAGGATTAGACAAGTGAGATGAGAGTTAGGATTATGATGGGATTAGGGCTATATTTGGGACTGATGGATTAAATTTGTATTAGCATAAATGTAATAGGGTTGGCCTTCACCACCAATAACAGAATCATAAATCTTTATTTTATCTTTTGAGGGTTAGGGTTAATTTAAGATTAAGGTTAGACTAAGATTAGGAGTTAGGGTTAATTTAAGATTAAGGTTAGGGTTACACTAAGATTAGTGTTAGACTAGAATTAGGGTCAGACTAAGATTTGGGTTAGGGTTGAACTAAGATTGAGATTATAGTTCAACTGAGATTAGGGATTGCTGAAGCTTGATTTTAGGGTTAGACTAAGATTAGAAATGTAGATCAGGGTTAGGGCTGTATGATGGTAGACTAGGATTAGAGTTAGTGAACCTTCACACCCAATAACAAGAAATCCTAAATCCTTACCGCCTCCACCTCTTTGGAGATGGTGGTGATCTCCTGACCTTTGGCTCTCAGCTCATCCCTCTGTTTGTCCACCACCTGCTTCAGCTTCAGCATCACCTCCCGCTCCTGACGCTGCTTGTGGTCTACAAGCAAAAACCAATCACAAGTGTTCCTTTTTCTTCGTAGTTTTCAGGGTAACATGTAGAAACAAGGTAATGAAAAGGAATCATTAACATTTCTCATTCTGTGAACAGTGTTGACTCAAACCCATAGACCTCCAATTAACTAGACATATAATCTATCAAACCACATTTATTTATTTATTACCACATTCAAAATAGTGGATTATTACCACATTATATTAGTGGATTATTACATTTATTTTGATGGATTATTACCACATTTATATTAGTGGATTATTACTATACGATAAAGTTTACACTTAGATCAGGGTTAGGGTGAGACTAAGACTAGGACTAAATTTAGACTAGAGTTCGACTCATATTAAATTGAAATAAACTTGTTATTTTAGTAACAGGAAAAACTGCGAAAGTACCAATTGTCACAGCCATTAGTTTCCATCTAATTTGAGGCGGTCTGTTGTGGTTAAAAAGTCTCTCACTACGTCGGAAAAAAAACTTTCTACACTGACTGAAACTCTCTGTATTCACACCCTGCTGTACAATGTAAATACACCAAAGTCTAGTGAGAGGAAGTCAAACATTACTGACACCAGAATGTAAGCAAAAAAACCCCATAAAACTTCCAACGTGACAGCACTAAAGATAACAACTGAAAGAGAGTTCATTTTAACCTAGGAGTTAACACAAAATGTTGCTAAACTAGTTTTTGTAAATTATTATCATTCTTGTCCAGCCCTCCTGAGTCTTTTCATACTTGTCTAAAGAACTGAAGTAAACAACTGACACAGACTACTTTACCTGTGATTGGCTGAAAACTGAATTAGAAAAACAAAACATAACCAAATGATATAGAGGGAAATTCAATTTTTAAAAAACTAAAATATAGAGAATATTCTTTATGATACAGTAACAATGTTTGTTTTATACTCTGAGGAGAAAATTCAACTCCCGGTTGGTGTAAAGTTCAAGTCCTCACATTTCAGGTATTAAAAAGTCATGTGAAAACCCTAAACACTGACGACTGGAATGAGGGCGAGGCTTCTTGAACAGTGAAAGCACTGAGCCTTTAAGTCCTAAATTGGGAGGCCGAGTGTGTGTGTGAGTGTGTCTCCGAGGACGTACCCTCCTGTGCGTTGCTGCCCTTTAGCCTGCTCTGCAACTCCTCTCTGTCCTCCTGCAGCTGCTGCACCTGGACCTGGAGCTCCTCACACCTCGTCCTCCACTGCTCCTCCTTCTGCTGCAGCTCCTGTGTGGAAGAACAGAAAACAGATCATCGAAAATACAAAACAGTGTGACAGGATACTGACATTTGGAAGACAAGAACAAAAAGAAACATTTTCACTGTTTGGTGCCAGAAAGACAGGTCATGTCCTCGCGGGTGTGTCATTTGGAGTCTGAGTGGTTGCAGATGTCGGGTTGAAATGATTGCGAAACGGCTCAAAAGCATATTCGGATGTAGGGGAACGCAGATACTGAATGTTCCTATGTTATTATTCTGAGGGTTTTCAATACGGGGTATGCAAACCTCAGGTTGCCCATGAAGTACAGTTAGACCACCTGAATTTAATTATATGAAAATATTACTATTACTTTTATAATATTTAATTTAAAACAACTTTTATACAATATGTACAGCAGGCGGGATCAGTTTGGGGGTCCTCTGCCTGAAAAACACTGAAAACCACTACTATAAAATTGCCTGAATTATAAATAATAACATAATCTGATAAATTTACCTCAGGACTTTTTGACTTTCTCATATAATTCCTTCAAACTATGATTTATAATGTAATTTATCCCAATCATCAAACTATTTTTTTCACGTATTTGGTTGATATTTATAAATGTAAGAATTTATTTATTTTAGATTTTTGTGTCCTGGCTTTTTGTTATTTTTGTGCATATTGTGGGTTGTTTTTTTTTATGTTTTGAAATATCAATAAAAGCTATTCTATTCTATTCTATTCTCTCCTATGTGTTATGATCTGCTGTGGTCCCCCGACCCTGAGCTCCAGAATTCTTCGGACACGCCCCTGTACGTGCTGTAACTTTATCTCTTTTGCCCTGGCCTGTAACTCGCTCAGCCTTAGCACCGACTAAAGACACGGGACAGGGGTGAGACACAGTTATTATAATGGCACAACAGACGCTGCGAGGATTTAACGGCTACGTTGACTTGTCCCTCACCCGTGTTTGGCTCCTCTCCGCGCAGCCTTCCTCCCCCTCCTTGCCTCCCGAACGTTGTTTCCTCTGCTGCTGAAGCTGAATCGCCTCGAACGTCTTCAGCAGCTCTTCCTCCCTCAGCTTGTGAGCGTGGTTTGTGGAAACGAAGCTCTCCAGAAGCTCCAGCACCTTCACGATCCTGGGCACCAGCCCCAGGACGCTCTCTTTGCCGTAGCCGTCGATCAGCTTCTCCACCTCGGTACCGATCACTTTGGCGATTTCGTACACATCGTCCAGGCTTAGAGCCGAATAAGTCCTGTCAAAGCAGCTCTCCGTGGGTCCAGATCTGGACCCCTGTAACGTTGCTGGTTCTTCCATGGCAGATCCGACCGAGCTTTGAAGTTCAACACGCTCTCAAACCTGTCGATTTAACCCGCACTGGCCTAAAGTGATAGTGAAAACGGACCGAGAGCTGTGGCTCGTGCTGCGTTCAGGTGCGGAAACATGACTGACTGCTTGTCGGTGTTGCTGCTGCAGCAGATCGAGGACGAGTCTGAACTTGACCTGCTTCCCTTCCCACAACAAACCTGTGCGATCACATGAACTCAAAAGCAAACACGAGAACACGGAGTCCTGGGGAAATGCTCGGAGTCCAGGAGAGTCCGAGTGCAGGAAGACCCGCCTACTCTGCTGACCAATGGGATTTGAGCAACCGCTCACCAACGCTCTTCTGCTCTGTCGGGCTGAGCCGAGTTGTCACGCTTCATTCTGCAGCAGGCAGCAAACGTGGGCGTCAGTCATATAGGTTCACCTCAAGGCTAATTTTTATTACTTCACGTAAAAAAAAAAAAACATATCCGTTTTACACGTCACTAGCCATACGCTCTCATTAAAGACGGTTCTTAAACAATAAAGGCATCGTTGTTAAACAATACACTCGCCAGGGGCAGTACTGGGTTTTCAAATTTATTTTAAGTTACCTTAGCTAAACAAACTGTGGTTAAGTCCTTTTTTTAAATCACCATATTAAGTTTTAAGCAGGTTTCCATGTTGCCCACATGCTTTTTTTCCTTGTTTCAAACCCTCCTACTGTGCTCTGGTGACCTCTAGTGGAGAAACGTTTTCCCCACTGAAGCATTCAAACAATCCTTGTCCCACGTTTTTGGACTAGGACCTGGTTCTAGTTGCAGCTTCAGTCAGAACAAAGTCAAGACAAATATCATTTTTAATAAAAAACGAAGTTTTTATTTAAATCCAAGCTACAGTCTCACAAGTGAACTTTTGAAAGTTACAAGTCTTTAATGTTTCCAAAGTCTCCAATGTTTTCAAAGTTTCATTTTTGTTTTTTAGAAATATGTTAAGAACTAATTTTTCCATTGACTGGACAATGTAGTGGAAACCCCTCGTTTCCAAAACATGATGCAACTTTGAACTAGCCTCCACCTGCTGTCTGGCATGGCTGTAAATGTCCAAATATTGTCATGCAAGCTTCTGCTTGCACTGTTGTATTTGCAGATAATTATATTTTGACAGAATCTATCATCATCTTTAACTAACATGGAGAAAAGTTTTTCTTTTCTTCATTTAATCACTTTATCATATCGTCCTACCTGTTGAAAATGTCAAACATTGTAATTACCTTGAATTACTGACTGAAACTACACACAAATGTGCATTTGTTTGAATCTTGTCCTGGATTTCTTTTTTCAAATATTTTAAGAGAAGACAAAAATGCTTGTAGAAAATAATTTCGAAAAACCAACAAAAAAAAAAAAGAAAAAGAACAAGCTCCTAAAATTCTCTCAAGCCTTTACATAAAAATGTGCTGATGTCATGGTTGAGCAGAAATATTACAAGACTGGCTTGATTCTGACCAAGTTATCTACAAAGGGAATGGAGGGCAGACATGGGCTCTCAGGCGTACATGTCCTCGCGGTCAGCGTTGTAGATCTCTCCCTCCTGCAGGGAGGCGAAGTTGAGGAAGTGCGATGGTCGATGGACTTCGTGGTAGAACTCGTATGGGTTGGCCAGCTGAAGGTCGTACTTCATGTTGGGGTCATGGCGCACACCTGTACAACAAAACAAGTCACATTTATTTATTTATGGACAAATATTTGAATAATCCTGTTTTATATTGAACATTACTGACACTGCTCTTGACAAAATAGCTAATTATAGCATTACTGCCTAAATAAGTAGTTGTCAATGAAAAGGAATATTTGCTTTTTCTACACAATAGTTGCCAAAGGACTGTGTGTTTTGCTAGTGTGCATAAAAGAAATCAATGAAACTGAAACAAGGGCAGAGCAGAAAAGTCAATGAATGACACCACAGTTGTCACAGATAAAAATCAAGTGGACCAAGGGTGTGCGAGCTGACAGTGTTGCTGGATCACAGCTTAAAAAAGAAAAAATACACAGACAAAAAAAAACAAAAAAAACATACCCATAAAGTTGTAGTTCCAGGAGACCTGACCAGGAACCATGAAGAATCCGAGGAAACGATCAGAGAGCAGCATCTGCACTCTCTCATAGTGGGACGGCAGATAACCTTTCGGATTGTTGCCCTTGTCTGTGTTCTGTCGACCCCACTCGTAGCCACTTGGCGTCAGCTTGTAGGCTGTGAGCGTGCATGAGCCGGGGGTGAAGCTGAAAACCAGAAAGTAAATAAATTATCATTGATTTTTAAAAAAAAAAAAAAATTTGTGAATAACTTTTTAGAGTTGGACTACTGTATGTGGTAGTCAGTCCTACCTGCAGGTGATGATGATGGTCTTTTCTCCATCCCAGGACGGGTTGTCAGCCATGACCTTTGCATGAGTGGTGACGTCCTGTGGGGACAGCTGAGGTGACTCGTTAGGCTGTGTGTGGATCCAACCGAGAGGCTCCATTTCCTGTGTAAGAAATGTGTTAAAAACAACAGAAGATTGACGTTAAAACACCAAATATCACAAATTTAAATATTCAACTATCTATCAAGTTTCTCAATGTGCTTCACCTTCAGATACTCGTGACTGGGCAGCTGGTTGGGCAGGTGGACGGTCTGATGTGTGCCCCACTGTGGTACCATCACAATACATCGAATCTCCTTCACCTGGGGGTTGTCTGGTGGGCTGGTACCGTAAAGGTAACCCGCAATCTACAACAACACAGTACTTGTTTTTAAACACACATTCGGTGAAGAGTGTAAAATGTTTAGACATCTGAAAACTGCAAACACCAAGTAAAGTCAGACAGAGTCGTACCTGCGCTCGCAGATCTGAGATGCAGATGAACTTTTTGAGGACATTTTTGGGCAGGATGTAGGTGTATCCTGTCTCCTTGATGTCGTCAGATGACACATAGATGTGGTTTGTTCGAAGATGGAGGTTAGCAGCAGATATGGCTCTGAAAACAGATAAAACAGGTCAATAAAAATTGTCTAACAGAAACCACAACAATCAGTTCAAGACAATTAGAAATCCTTTACCTCACTCGCCACTCAGTCTTGGAGGAGAAGGTCTGGGTCTCGTAGTTGGAGGTGGTGGAGGTGATGATTTCGTCTCCGTGCTTGTTGACAGTCCGTGTCTGCGTGGCCGTCAGCTGCGACTGCTCTTTGGTCTGTTTCTCGATCTCAGCGATTTGTTGGCGCTGCTGTGACGGAGCGGAAATCTCCATGCCCAGGATGATGTCACGAATCTCAGACTGGGTTAGAGAAGCCACGTTCACACTAGGGGGAAAGAAGCATCAACTATTTACTTGAAGTTTAATGTAAGTCTCTTCTTTATAGGAGAGTAAAACACCTCTTTCAACTATCTGTAAAATAAAAAAAAAATTAAAAAAAAAACATGACGACACTCACTTGTTCTTTTTGCCGTAATCAGCCAGAATTAGATCCTTGAGTTGCACCTCCACCTTGATCCACTCCTCGTCAGTGAGTGTGGGCCAAATGTGATGTGGCTCAGTGATGGTTGTTTTGTCTGGCTTGAGGATCACCTTGGCACGGTCGTTGTTGACATGGAGCGCTCTGAGGATCAGGATGAGTCGGGAGAAAGCCTAGAGATGTAAAAAAAAAAAAAAAAAAAGACAAGAGAAACTTTTTACACACAAAAATAAGTAGGGCAATTCTTCAGACAAGCGGATGTGTGTCACATCAGGATAAACAGAAGAAGTTATGAAGCCAGGAGCAAACGGTAACAGTAATAAATTATTCTAATATACAACTGGTTTAACTTTGACTCACTGTGTAGGAGGAAATGGTCTTCAGCCAGTCATCATAAAGGTTGAACAGCACCATTTGAGGTTCTGTCGCCTTCAGGATCAGGTCTCCGAACTTCTCCACCTTCAGACAGGCCTGGAAAGGCAGCTGCAACTCAGAGCCTTTGATCACAATGTTGGGGAAGTCAAGCAAGTGAACCTGCACAGAGAAATCATCGGGATTAGAATTCGACAGCAGCTGAAGGGTTTACTGTTAAACTACACTGACATGAAGCATCGAGATTTAGAGTTGTTGATATTAGTCATTGTAGTTTTACCTCCAGAGGGTCCAGCATGCCTTTTCTGGTAACGATGATCTGTTTGGGCTGTTCCTCCACAGGAAGGGAGCGAATCAGAGCAGCCACTTCTTCAGCAGTTTTCCATTTTGCCAACTACAGAGAAGGAAAAAGCATGGTTGGACTTTTGACACTGGAAAATAAACTGATAAAAGTTGGAGTCAAACGATCAACCATTATGTTGAGAGTGAAAAATGGGAGCAGCACCTGTCCGAGACGTTTCTGACCAGCCCACACAGATGTGTGAATGATCTTGAGGAACAGCTGACCAGTCCTGGGGTTGAAGATGAAAATGGCTCCATTGATCGGTTTTGTGGTCAAGTTACCCTCAAAGGTCTGTGGGATTACAAATGGTTACAACATTTACCAAAAAACTTTTTTTAAAGAACAAAACAAAGGTCATAATTTGGACACATTGCTTAAAACATCTCTACTATAAGTAAGTTCTTGGAAAGTAGACACACTCACCTTGTGGATGGTGACTCTGTAGACGTTAGTGTCGTCCACAAACCAGATGATCTGGTTGGAGAAGAGTTCACCGTAGTTCTGTGAGGACAGGTACGGCTCAGTGGGTTCTGAGGAGTACAACTGCAGACCTTTGCGGATGCGCTCCCTCAGCACATAGAGGGCAGGGTTGGCCTTCATGATCTTCGCCATGGCCTGTTGGATCAGAGGTTTGCTTCCAGGGAACCAGTTACCGTAGGCACTGCAGAAAAACAAAAGCAGACACTGATGAATGTCTTGCCATGGTAAAGACAACTTGGAAAATTGCTGTGGAAATCTAACAGACGTCTGCAGACCATATGAGCAGATAGCTGCCAGAATGCAGGGTGTGACAGAGAGCTTTCATAAAGTTGGAGAGAAAGATCTTTACCTGTGCAGATTGTAAGCCAGGTCAATAGCAATGAGCACACCGGTGGGGGAGGGGTAGATACTCATGTTGTCGGTAGTGTAGTCCAGGAACTTGGCCCTGGCGTATCGCTCAATGTCATGAGAGTCATAGTCACCCCATCTGAGCTGGATATCGATCCAGTACTTCTGCGTGGTGGTGCTGTCCATCACGTCTCTGTGGGAGGAGGTGGACATCTTTACTGACACAACACGTATAAACAATAATTTACTCTATGCCAACTACTCCTCCAGAAAACATACTTTGAGTCGGCAAGCAGCGACGGACGAGAGACATTCCATTTGTATGACGCAAAGAGAAGAATGTCGGCACAGGACGAGTTCATCTTGTACGACTTCCTGGGGTGAATGGTCTCTTTCTGTACAGTTTCAATCTCCAGAGCGTCCAACTCCTGGTCAAACACCTGAAAATAATAATAAAAAAATAAATAAACAACAATATTCTAGGCTTTCAACGTGTCACAGCCTAACGTGGACGGCATGGAGAGCGCACCTGACAAAGATCCATGACGATGCTCTCGTGAATCTTCTGCCACAAGTGAGCTCTGAAGATCTGAATGAGGGAGATCTTCAGTGTAGGGATCTTGCCGTGCATGAAGATTCCTGTCAAATCAAGCTGCACCTGGAAACCAACGTACACCTACAAACGAGACAACAAAACTGCTAGTCAACACAGGAGATCCAAAAAACTAGAAAAGTGCTTATGGATAATCTGGTCAGATGATTTCATCTTGTACTGACGTTGGCTCTGTTGATGGTTGGTGACCACCAAAGTGTGAAGCGACGGTTGGGAATCTGATTGAGACCAGACCTCTGGGCATTGGTCAGTTTTTTCCATTTCATGGATTCCTCAAAACCACTGGCCTTCTCCCTAAAGCACCAAAAAAAGAGAAACAATAGATTTTTAACTGAACAACCTTCAAGCATTCAGGTAATTGGAGAAACAGAAAGATAAAGTATTGCAATGTAGTGTAATGATGAGAACCATCTTATTCCCTGGCCACAAGCTGTGGTGTATTAAACATGGTAACGTCAGCTCTTACCAAAACAGACCCTCCCAGGTGGGAAAGTATGTGCCTTTGAAGAGCGTGTGCTCCAGGATTCCCTCCACACCACCCAGAGCCTGGATCATGTCTGTGCGGTAGTTGTTCAGGTTCCACAGTTTGCCGTCGTGCCTCTGGTGAGTCCACCAGAAGGGATTTTGCTTCAGCACCTGCATTTTGTCAAAACATTGACAGAGAAACATCAGGTTTAAGTTCCCATACATTTCTCTAAAGACTACTTTAAGTTATCTTAAAGTAGTCCATCTTCTAAGAATATTATACATTTCTCTAAAGACTACTTTAAGTTACTTTGATATCATACTTTCTGTACAATATAGGTAGAAATGTGAATCAAACTTAGGTTAAGCAAAAACCATCTCTGGAATTACCATCTTCTAAGAATAAGACCCTCACATGGATTACTTTTAATCTTCTTATTAACCTTGAAATTATTTTAAAAAGGGTTCATTTTGTACCTGGTACTGCTTGAAATCTGTCCTGACTCTCCAGCCTTTGTCATAGGCCAGTGTATGTCTGTCCTTCTGGAAAAGCGTGTTGATGCGAGGAATTCCTCTGTCCCATGAGTCCTCCAAGTCCTCCAGGGTTAGACGTCTTGAAACACAGAAAACATGTTGCTATTGGCCGCGACTAGTTTTGGCACTTATTTTATAAAAACACTCCAAACCTTCATGTTTGAATGGGCATGAGAACTTTTAAAGTCCAGCTGCAGCCTCACCTGTTCTGAGCAATGGCCTCCTGCCTCTTCAGTGCGTACTCAGCCCACACTCTCTGAGAGTCAATGAACTCGCTTTCCCATGGCTGAATGTAACGATACAAGTTTGGAATCAGCTGATCTTCTTCGTGACTCATTCCAGACCTGAAGTGGGTGATGCCCACATCTGTCTGCTTAGACCACCTAATAAAGAAAAAGAGAGAGAGAGAAACGATTAAAGTAAAAGTTCCGCCGTATAGTTCAACTACTTCATACTGTTGAATGGTTAACTGGAAACACGACGCCACTGGACTTTACCGCAGATCTGACTGTGGAATCAGGACATGGCCCATGGACAACATTCCCAGACCTCCCAGTTCTTTGGGAGTGTAGAAGACCACAGGTGGGAAGCGACTGGGCATTTTGGAGTTCAGACCGATCTTGATACGTGTCTGGATTTTGTTTTCGCACTTCACCAGCAGGTCCAGGAGCTCCTGGGTGTTGACAACTGCTTCACGGAAGTACGTCATCAGACCAATAAGAGCTGTGTTCCATTTATTCACAATCTAGAAGGGAGAAGAAACAAAACAACAGCACATGTTTAAAAACTGCAACACATTTTTATTTCATAAGGTTTACATTTCACAGGTTGGATTTTAGCTCAACTGACCTTTGTGAATGTGGTGGATCCAGATGCCATCAGGATCTGACGAACTCTGTTGTGGAAGCGCTGCATTGATTCGTCATCCACACGCAGGAAACACTGCGCTGTTCTTTCTTTAGTTACCTACAGATACAAAAATGTGACAAATGAGTCAAAAAAGTGTTTTTTTATATTTAGAATACTATAGAATTCTCTTCTCAAGAGTTTGGTAATAAAAAATTCTGTGTTATGTTCTCACTTCATTCTGCAGGTTCCAGACACCATCTTTGTGAGTGAACTCCTCATAGCTGGTGCGGCACTTGGGGAGGATGCGACACTCAAAGCCACACATGTTGAAGAGCAAGTTGGGATTGTCTTTGCTGTAGACTGATACAAAGCTGTTCTCCCACTGTACCGTGGTCACAGACCTGGGCAGACGATTTTTGATGTCCCAGAACACTGCACGACCACTGAGGCAAAAAAAACAAACAAACAGAAAACAAAGTTAAATATTTGTTGATATTCCTTAAATGCATTAAGAGTGAGAGAAAATATTACAGTCTTCAAGAAAGTAGACTATCAGTCTCTGTTTTGTGGAGGAACTTACAGGTTGACGTCATGCTTCATCAGTCTCATGCGAGCATCTCTGGGCCAGCACTTCTTGTTGTTGTAACCTACAATGTTCTCATTGTTCGGGTCAGGATGCTCAGTCAGGTACCTCTGAATCAGATCCCTGGCCTCATCAGCAGAAAATCTGGAATCATTTTACAACTGTTTAATAATCCGATAACAATTACCCTGAGTAAGACTCAGACTGAATTGTCACAGTGGTGATCCAATCCCACCTGAAGAAGATGTGGATCCGGTCAATGTAGCGACAGTACAGACGGATCGGGTGAGCACTTTCTGTGGTTGTGTCCTGAAAACTGAGGAAGTCGTTGGGCATCTGTGGTGGACCAGCCATCTCACTGGCACGGTGCAAACCCAGCACCAGGAGGTCCATCACAAGGCCATAGTACTGCACAATGAAGGAGGCAAACTGGAGACCTCTGATGATTCCGTAGGAGTTGGTGTGGTTCATGTCCTAGAGACAAGAGAATGTGCAACACAGACAAAACGACACATTAGAAACATAAACATATATATATATATAAAAATTGAGTGTTTCACTTTTCTACACCATATATACACTTGTCTATTACCTTGTAGTTGATGACCACGTTGTTCTTTGCTGTCATGTAGTCAGCAATGTTGTGGTCCACAATGAGACGCAGCAGCCTGTTGAGTAACGTCAAATCGATCTTCTCATACATTTTCTCATAGCGTGACTCCAGCATTACGTTGCACTCTCCTTCTGTCGTCTCCCACACATCCTGCAAGTTGTTGATGCCTGAATGAAAAGGGAAAAAAGTTTATATATAATAAATTAAATGAGGCTGAAAACGTTTGTATTGCTCAACAAGTTAATTTCACATCAATTAAAACCATCGTAAAGACCAGTCACTCTAAAGTAAGACTGACCTTGGCACCACTTGTAGACGAGCAGTGGTGGTGGTTCGGTGTCTGCTGGTTTGATCCATGGTGGGAACAGACGCCGTTTGTCTGCCTCGTACCACAGGTACTGATCCAGGTAAGCGTCTGTGATCTTCTCCAGTGGCTCCACATCGTACACGGGCACCAGGTGGCTGTACAAGTCCATGAACTCGATACCCACCTACAAGCAATAACATTCTACTTAACATGGACTTAAGGAACATGGACTCAAAACTCAATTCAGAACACATGGGCACACTGTGGTTCTGACCTCTTTGAATGCTCTCTGTGTGAGCAGATGACGTTTAATCCTGGACAGGGCCTCGTGGGGATTGTCGTACGCCTGCTCTATCAGTCCCAGCTCTTCTCTCTGACTCTGGTTCAGACGAGACTTTACGCTAGAAACAGAAAGGAAAAACAGTATTATTAGCACTGTTAACACATTTAATTCTACAATAAAAAGGGCACAAAAGCTAATTAGATTGATGATGTGAAAGTATGCTACCTGTAGGCTTCTTTGAGCCTCTCCAAGGCCAGAATGAGAAGCTTGGTGTCATGTTTGTAGGACAGGGGAGGGAAAGGGATGGGGGAGAAGCGACGACTCTCAAGCCAGTGAACAGTGGTGGTGTAAATGGCCACTGCTTCTTCAGCTGTGATGTAGGGTCCATCCTGTAAGCAAAATAAAATATGGCTTAATATTTTACTTCATTAGAGAAGAATCACAATAAAGAAAATATCTAAATCTAACATTGAAATGTTAATTAACCACAAGTTCTTACACATTACCTTCAGGTAGTTGTGCTGCCGCTCCTGCTCTGCTTTCAGGTAGAGACGTGTCAGTCTGCCCAAGTTCTTCTTACACACTGTCTTGTCCACAGTGGCACCACGACGGATTCTCTCACGGTTGTAGTGGGCGGTGTTGGTCCACCAATCGGCTTTGGCCTTCACGTACCGCAGGATCATGTTTTCAATTGGAGTGGGCAGACCTGGCACCTGAAAGGATGAAGAAAACATTTTTTTTATTTTCCCCTAAGTGAAAGCTTAGAAAGGTGGAAACCATCTGTGCTGCACTGACCTTCCAAGGGATGTTGGCCTTCCAGCACCTCCAGGATTCACTCAGATGTTGCAGGATAGTCCTGGCCTTGTTCTGTTTGATACCTTCGGGCATCATGTCCAAGATGTCGTGCATTACTGCAGCTCGCAGCTCAAGGTCAAAGTGAGACTCCACACGCTGTTTGGTCACCGTCTTGGCAACACCCTTGGAGTGACGTCCTGTTGAGATGGAAAAAAAAAACATTCATGTTTAACCTGACAAATCTTTTTAAATGAACCCCACAAATGGAAACCTTTGAGATCATTTCTAGGTAAAATGCTACAAATTAACAGACTTGAGTAAATACCTTCAAACTGCCTGGCCAACAGGTTACCCAGCCACCTCTCAAGCAGAGGGGTGATGCCTCTCATGAAGAACAGCCACACTCTCCAGCCAGGAGCCCAGAACCCACAACCTGGACCTTTGCCCACAGGACCCTAATGACACACAGAGGAATGGATACATGAGGTCAAACTTCGGAAAGATGTACATTTTTGTAAATGTTCTTTTTTTTAAATAATAAGCTTTGAAAAAAATATATAATCTACTGAATGTTAGCAGTGTATGTGAACTTACAGTGTTGAACCTGTAGTAGATGAGATGCTTCAAGTCTTTGCACATTCTGATCTGTCGCATCAGCTTGTACTTGTAGCGGTACATGCCCGTCAGCTGCCCGACATGAGCAAAGATGTACTGCAGTCCATCAGACAACTAAAACACAATGCAGGTTTAGAGATCAACCACTAATGCAACGCAAACCTGATGTTAAAAATATGGGTTTTTAGTTCCTGTGATTAAAAAAAAACAAACACTGGATGTGCTGGATAAATGCTACAAACCTGGAAAGCGTCAACATTTCCCAATCTGTACTGCACGTGACTGTCCACTACCAGTTTGCTTAGACGTAGCACCTCTCTGCACAAGTGAAAAGCGTTTCCGAATCTGGACTTTTTACGCTCCTAATGACACATAATATAAAACACTTGTTATTCAATCACAGTTGTATGAATGTAATTCATTTCAATAAATAAATTATAATGTAATTATACACAGTTTAAAAAATTAATATAACAAGAAGTAGTTCTTAAAAGTGGAACCTTTGTGGTCAGGGTCTTAACAGGCTTCAGGTTGAAGTTGTAGTCCAGATGCAGGTAGTTGAGGTTCTTTCGGTGGATGAGAAGATTGAGCATGTTGTAACCCTGTCTGCACACTTGAAGGCCAACCTCCACCCAGTCCAACTTGGTGGACTGAAAGAACTTTGTGGCCTTAAAGGAGCGGAACAGATACCTGGAAAACGACAAAGAAAAACTCTTTGTAGAAGAAACATCTTCATATTGAGCACAATGTTTTTATGTTTTTTTTGTTTTGTTTTTTTAAATACAACAGGTAAAAAGCAAAATTTGTCAAAGATGCTCACCTCTTTTTCTGGGCCTTGGGTGGTCTGTGTTTCAGGGCATTGAGCACGTAGTACTTGAGCAGTTTTTGGTACGATACACGCACTTTAACTGGCTGCCCTGCAGGACAGTGCTCACGGTACCTTTAAATAATTTAACACACACACAGACACCCCCAAGAAAAAAAAAAGTTAGTCAAGAACCAATGTTGGACTCACAGATGTTGGTCATAAGCTCACCAGTTCTTGATCAGAGGGATATCAATGGCACGCCTTGTGCGACCAGATCGGAGGTTGAAGGGTCTTGGTGCCCACAGAAGAGCAATGCCATTGGCTGTGTTGTCTGTGTAGAGTGGAGTCTCTTTGAGGAAAGGCTCGACATACTCAGGGAGTTCAAACTCCTCATCGTCATCTGGCAGAGGCTCTTGGCTCTGAACACACAGCAAAATGATTAGCACCATATAAATTAATGTCAACTTTACAAAAACAGTTTAATGCTGACTTTTTTTAACCATTAGTTCTATTTCAGGGCTATGTTATTCCATAATCAGAGTGGGTTTGTAGCACTAAACTCTACAGTCAGCAACGACTATGTGTATCTCTGGCTCCCATTGGTCAATGTATGAATGGTGTGAAGCCAACTGCAGCTGCAGCCTGTTATTGAAAAACACCATTCATTTTAATTTTCCTCCAGTTCTTACGCACAGGCAAGCAGACCAATGCAAGTGCGCCTTCATAAGAGGATTCTTTTCAAAACATTTGGGTTTAAAATAATAATCAACAAAATAAATACATTATTTTAATTATCTTTTTCCAATCGCCATAAATACAAGAGGGATAAATGCCAAACCTTGACTGAATGTCTGTGTGAAATGGGGTTGATTAGAGGATCAAAGTAGAACGCTGGAAGATCGGGATCCTCAGTTTTGATGAACACTACATTTGGTGTATGATACCTGTGGGAGTATCACAATTGTAATCTCAACAAAATGTTACAAAACATCAGCAGCTGTAGGAGCGGAGTCAATGTAATTAAAACCTTTTACCTACAATACACCTGAACAAAAAAAAATTCTTACCAAGTTAGGTGAACATGGTGTGGCAAGTTGTTGTACAGGTAAGGAAATGCAATTTTGTACTCTGTTCTGATTGGCTGGCGAATGATGATTTTGTTGATGTCGTTGAATTCATTCCAGTCTTCATCCCTACAGAGGAAAAACAAAAATTACATGAGATACACAAAAACATCTAGGACTTCTGGAGATTTAATGTGTACTTTACAAATTAACAGTAATGTGAAAAAATTATAGACAGGATTTTTCTGATCTATAGTTTCTTCAGATATTAAACAAATCCAGTACTTACTGCAAGTTGATGTCTCGGACCAATGGCTCAAACTTTGGTCCTCCAGGGATTGCCATATTCAAGGCCTTGGAGGTGAAGAAGGCCTTGAGGTCAAACAAGTAAAAGTAGTTGCCGTCTACCAGGTCTGTCAGAAGCTGATTGGCCAAACGGTACAGCGTAGACATCATGGGCAGTGTAAACTGCCAGCGTCGGTATGTGGTGCCATTCACAAACCTAGATTTGAAAATACATCAATTAAATCTTCATTCCAGTGTCACCTCAAAGAGTTTGTCTCAGGAGTTCCATGTTGCATGCTCACTTGTTACTGTCTTTGAGAGGCTGGTGCTCATAGAACCACTCTGCAACTGAACTGTCCTCCTCAGGGTCCAGTTCCATCTGGATGGCTTCTAATGGTTCCACATCGAGGATGTTGTCAGCATAGTCCAGTGGCGGCTCCTCATCATCAAATGGTGGAAAACGCATTCGCTTGAAGTGCCGACGATCACGCTTTTCACGACGCATCATGATCCACATTGCACTGGGAGGAGAACAGAAAATAAGGACTAAATAATAATAATAATACATTTTATTTAAAAGCACCTTTCAAGTCACCCAACAACACTGTAAATAAAACAATAAATAAATAATAAATTAATAAACAAAGCCAAAAAGACGTCAACGGACCTTTATCAAAAAGCACCCAAGTTTAATGTATAATTGGTTGCACAAATTAAGTATCTCAAAGTTTGTTAAAGAGACACTTTAGGGTCTTTAGGTGAACAAAAGCACAGAATAAACCAGAATGACGTAAACTGAAGATGATAACTTACCCCCACTGGGCAATATAAACTGGTTCAATGACCCAGGGAATTTCATTCACAAAGGAAATGGCTCCAGTAATGTGGTAGAGAACAGGCACATCTCTGATCTGTTCCCAAGGCATTGGCATGTTCTCCAGCAGCTTCAGCACTGCATGGGGCATGTACTTGAGGGCACTGTTACAAAATGAAAAAGATATACATAGAATGACTAAGAATGATCTTACTGAAAATCACACACAAATATGTGCTTAAATGAACTATAAATGCCAATTTATACAGAATTCCTTAAAATAATCTATTACAAATACACTGTAAGATGTTTCCAGCCAGAGAAACATCAAGTGATTTTCAAGTAAAACCTGCAACTCACCCGAGGTAGACCCTCTTATCATGGCGAAACTTTCTGTTGGTCATGTCACCGTGGTCCCTGATGATCTTGCGCACATGCTCAGGTGGCATATCTTCTTTCTGTGCATCCACGAAGCCAAACTTCCTCTTTTCCGAGTAACGCTTGGCCTGCAACTGCTGCCATTTTCTCGCTGTAGATTAAAACAAGATGCAAAACACTGTCAAAAATCTTGACATCTATCTTCAGACCAACACCAATAGCCTTACACGGCTCTGTCTCATAAGTTAAGTTAAACCCCACTTACCCTTTTCTTGCAGTTTTTCTTCAGTCATGTAGTCAGGAATTGGTGCAGGAGGCGGGGGTACACCTGGAGGCATCGCCGGGGGGACCCCTCTGTAGGGGAAGGTGGCCGCCATGGTGCGTCACTCCTGAGGAAAAGAATAGAAAATGTAATTATTGGTATAGATCTATTGGTTAACAGTTATTTCCATTATAAAAAGTTACTTTTTTTTAAAGAAACTATGGCTAAGTTAAATTTTTGACATGTACAAGGAGTCACACGGATACATTTCTTGCCATTTCTTGTTCAGAGAAGCTTGGTCTCACAAAAGTGAGACCAAACTTGTCTCACTCTGTCTTGTCACTTGCCATAACTTTAGATGACAAATAATTAAGGCACTTCATTTTATGTACATCAACTTTGTTACTTATTTAACTTTAATTTCGCTTTCAAATGTATTTAGACAATAAGAAAACAACGTAAAAACAATTTTTGATGTTTATCTATTGAGAAAAACAAAAAAGAAAAACAAGAAAGATTTGATAGGTAGGATACTTAAGGGTGTTGCAGTTGTGGCTGGAATAACTTCAATGTAATTGAAAAATTAAACATACATCTTGTAACCGAAATAACACAAGCTTAAGCAAAGTTGTTTTATCTAAACATTATCCCAAACATTGAGACCCGCACTGCGTTGCAATCAAATATGGAAAATAAGTGCAAAAATAGTGCATCGTTTAAGAAACACTGAAAATTAAAATGGTGTTTTAAACACCATGGTGTTTTAAATATATCATTCATTCATCATTCATTTTCAATCATTCATGGCCATTTGTTTGTTTATTTTGTTTTGTTTTTTTGCAAGACTAGAAACAAACGAACACAATTCGAGTTTGAATAACGTAGTTTAGTAACATGGCTTCCTTGAACGGCCTATGCACTACAGAAACGTTAAACCACTCTTGCTATTGTAGTTGTAATTTCTATGCCCCAACAATGAGCTGGATTCGTTTTAAGTAGGCTATACAATAATTGATAAATAAGACATATACATGGACGTATTTCCTCTTTCGTTAAGCCGTTAGGCCAAACTTGGAATAAGCGGTAAACTAGCCGACAACGCTACACTAGCATGGCGGCTAACACAATAATGCTAAATAATTAAAGCAAATCCGACATACCTCTCTACCCTTTTCCAAAAGAAAATTTTTCAACAGCCGTTCACCACACTCAGTCGGCTACCACAACATCTCCTTTTCTATGAAATATGTTTTTGTTTCCTCGCACGCCGCTGCTTTGGTTTTCCGTCTGCACGATGAACAACGGCGGCCACACGATGAACGAACTACGCTCTAATTCACAAACCTGCTTTACGGCGGAATAGATTTGCGTATCTATACTGAGCAAGAACACACCTACGTAAAAAGGTACGCAAACGTTGACTGAACGTATCTCTCTAAATACCCGTATGATGCAGTTTCCGGTATCATACTGCCTCCTGCAGGATCGGAGTGTAGTCACCGCCATTACGTAGCGTTCCTTTTCTTAAATAATTAATAGTTTCAGATGTAATAATAGTTTGAACTAGAGACCGTCATGATTGACTTTTACTCTATTGAAATTTCTTACAAACAACATCTGGAACATGATTGCAACATTTCTAACCTTGGTTGTAATTAGGAACTGCAGTCGGTTTATGTCTTGTTTATGCATAACGTTAATTTTATGCTGTTTATCCAAATAAGCCTAAAAGTAAAACATACACAGGTTCATCAACTAGAATGTGTGTTAATCAATTGCCCGATTTTCTAGTATACAATATATATAAATATATATTATATATTTATTTACTTCGTGGCAAGAAGGAGAATCCGCACAGCATGGAGGCCAAACCAGCAAAGTGCTGCAGGTGAAGGGCCAAAGCAACTTTAAAGCTGTTTAAAGTTTCTTTTTAAATGGACGTTTATTACAATATCATGATATAAAAAATAGAATGCATTTGAATACAAAATGGAAAAACAAACAAACAACAAAACCCTTAAAAGACATACACAAAACGATCCCTTTCATATCTATATAAAAAGAGTTTAAAATACAATATCTTTGGTTACATCTGAAGTGTGTCAAGAAGGAGAGTAAAAAAACATAGAAATGCCACAAAAACACAGGGCTACAAATGTGCATGTGCCCACACATACTTTGGTAAAAATGGCTCATATAAACAAATATAAAACATTAGTGTATCTTGATAGATGAAGAGTTAATTTCCCTTTGTCCTGAAACTAGTTTTATTCCCTAGTAAAATGCCAACTAAGTTTGATTTGTCTAAGTAATTTTGTTATCTTTCTAAACGCCCTGGTGAAGACCAAGGACAATTTATGTCAATGCGATGTTTAATCAAAACATACAAATTAAAAGGTTGTTTTATATTAGTAAATTCCAAGTGTGAAACACATAAATGGGATTTTTCACATGAAAATATAATTACCTATCTTCTTTCACCTCCCGGGCACTCTTTTTTTTTTAGTTAAAAAAACTAAAACATATGATTGATATATGCTTTAAATAGAATAAATGTACAAAAGAGACAAACAACAAAAATAACAATAAAAATCTAAAATAGGTTGGTACTGTAACTAGATGCAAAAATTGAAGTATAGTCTTGTGTACCATAAGTGGCCTAAGATTTGTCAGCAACCTGTGTTATGACAGTAGGGATCTCCTGGAAAGCTACATGCTACTAGTTTAAAAATCAAACAAGTTTCAAGCTATTTCATTTTTCCCTGTTTTACCTCTTTAACTTTTTGAATGTGCTAATTATACCATCCGTTAATGGACAAAATATGAGTTGTACCACTGTCATAACGTCACGGCAACACAGCGTAAACATTGTACGGAGGAAATGTGCAAAATATACAAAGAATCAAGATCAAGCTTGGGATACGCAAGTAAAACTCACATCACATGCCACTGACAAACTTTTTACAAAGAAACTTTCAAAACTAGTATAATATATATTTTCCCAAACACATGAAGACTGTTAGCTTAAAAATAAGGCACTTATTGATATATCAAAGAAATGTTGAATGCATTTGACAGAAAACTCGTTTTAGTGTAACAACTGCTGCAATCCCCGGAATTTGGAAACATCTTTCAACACCAAAAGGTACTGCCCTCTAGATTTCTTATAATGTGCTAGACATGAATTGCATAGAGTATGAATCCCTTTTTACTTCCCATAATATAATGTATTTACTGACACAGAGCACGGGTTCTAAAACTGTGTAAAACTGCATAAAGTCACTGGTAAGATGGAAGCAGGCTGCATGTGTATGCCTTGGTTTCAAAAACAATAACACACTGTTTAACCCATGAGACTATGATGTCATAATATCCAAAGGAGAAAAGAAAAAAGCACACGTTCACTTGTCTTTGTGAGGAATACAACTGTCAACATATTCCCAGAGGGTTGATAGAACAGTCTGAGGCCTTCAGCAACAGAATGAAATTCAGATTCCTGCATCTCTCGATGTGTCCCTGGGGCAGAATAGTCCCGTCAACTGTACAGTTATTTGGATGATTCCTCAATCCTTAAAGTAAAGTTAAACACGCCAAGCTTTTATTGCCAAGGACAGCTGAATTTTGTATCTAGTCAATAAACCACAAATAATCTACTTAGAATCTTTGTTTAAAACCAAAACCTGTAACAGAACCAGGCAAACTCATTTGAGTTTGTTCGTGTTTCTGGGTCTAATAAAACGGTTAAGGCACATGTGGATTTCATTGAGAGACAAAAAGAAATTCTGAAGATAAAGGGGTGAAAATAGAATAAGGCTATGTGTCAGTTTTTTTCTCCTAAGTGCCATCAAAAACCAGTGGTTTTTCGGACTTACTGAGAGAGAGTCATTTTCCATGTCACAGACTTCATAGTCTTAAAGGCCTGACAATCAGAAAAAGGGGATCACTAAAAAAAGGGAGTAGTTAAAAACCTTTTGGTTGGTACTGCATTGTTTGTAAATGGTAAACCACCAGGTTTGCAACGGGGGGTTTTACAAGCCCAGCTCCTCGTCCACAGGCACAGACTGGAGCTGAGTGAGGATTTTGGAATCTCCATCCATCTCCTCTGGATTCCCTAACGGCGAACTTGTTTCCTGTTCAGGGGAAGGACTTTCCAGAAGCAGCGACTCCCCTCCGGGAAGACCCAACAAACCTGGGTCTACAGGTAGGTCGCCTTTTCCTCGAACGTCAAACAGAGGGAGACTGGATGGTGTGGAGAGGGGCACGGGACTCCACACGGGCTGGGACAACTGCGTGGTGGGTGTGATTCCGCTGTACATGGGACTGAGCGTGAGCATGCTCTCTGGCGTTAGAGTGTTTGGTGAAAGCAATTGCTCCAGGGCGTGCGACAAGGGGACGACGGGTGCCTGGTTGGCTGTAGCTCCAGGCTCTGGAATATAGTACGGAGGGGAGGAGTTGATGAAGTTCAGGGGAGATAAAGTGATGCTGCTGTTGGTCTGTCCTGTGGCAGTTGAAGGCTGGGAGACCATAGATGGAGCCGGAGTGGTGATAACTTGACTCAGTCCGTTCACTGTCATGGTCGATGGTTCTTGGACCGGTTTCAGGGGTAAGCTAGCCAGTTGAATGCCGGCTGGGATGGTCAGGATCAGCTTTCCTTGCTGGACACTCAGGTAGGGACTTCCACCAAGAAGAAGGTTACCTAGAGTGGTTATAAAAATATCAGGAAAATTGATCATGAGTTTTCCTATTCTCCAATCATTTGTTAAAATGTCTTTTCTATTTATTAAAATTTAAATAACAAAAATGAAGATGTACCATGTCAAGTAAGAGGTCACTGAAATTCACATCTCTGCTGTGATCTCAATATGTTCAAATAAAATGCAGTGTTAATCTCTGTAGCGTCTCACAGAAAAGTTGAATGCATACCTGCAGGGTTGGAGGGCAGCTGGATGATCCCGGAGTTGAGGAGTTGTACAGCAGGGGCTAAGCTGCTCTGGGGAACCACGTTCTGAATAGGCCGGATCTGGTTTATCCTGACCGGAGTCTGCGGGACTGTTCCAGTTGCAGGAGCTGAGGCCAAGATCTGGAGCGGGACTCCAGCAGAGGGGATCGAGAGAGAAGGACTGGCTGGAACAACTTGGGGGAAGGAAATTGTTGAAGAGGTTTGAATGGAGGAGACCGGGACCAGCTGGGGCAAAGAGAGAGGGAGCAACTGTGTTGGGGTTGTACCTTTGAGCTGAGGAACTGGTACGACTTGTGTAGGAGCGGAGATGGAAATAACCTGTGGCTGCTGGATTTTGCCGGTTGAGGCGTTTGTGGTTTCTTCCCCTAGCTGCTGCGACATTCGCTGTGACAGCTGACTGTTGCCGAGTTGGGAAATCGAGACGATGTTTGTGGCGCCTTCGGGCAGAGTGGAAGCACTCGGCTGATCCAGTATCAGTCTGTTTCCTGCGTTCACAGTGTGAGTGCTATGAAACTGCGGAGATGAGGAGGTGAGGGGTGAAACTGGGACGAGCTGAGGGCACTGGGACACCTGAGCCCCAGACGAGTGTTGGACCAGCTGTGATACAGGTATACCCTGGATGGAAGGCACAACCTGGGGCAGAGAGAAGACCTGTGGAGTGGCGCTGCTGGAAGAAACTACAACATTGGAGGAATTTATCTGGGAGGTGGCAGTGGCAAAGACCACATACTCTCCTTGGTGATGGGGCAAAGAGCCAGCAGAACTGGACATGACCAAGCTGGCAGACGACATAGAAGTAGGGAGGGCAAGGGACTCCTGGGTGTTATGAGTCAA